CTTGTTAATTAATGCTTATATGACGCTTAGTTATAGTGATTTTTTTAGTTAGGCAGCGACTTTTATAGCGAATTTTTTTATCGTATCTGAGAAACAGAAGGATGTAAGTTCAAGGAGTTACTTTTTACACAAAGAAAATTAATTATTAGTTTATATTAATATTATTATATATATAAATATGTATGATAGAGAACTTATAATTTCAAGCTTGTTTCCTTCTTCTTCTCAAGTGCAAAATTATAACTTTGCATGAAGGTTTGCCGTGTTCGATATTGCATGTGTATATTTTAATGACGATAAATTTACAAGTGTGACAATTTTTAATTGAAACTTTCTGGTGGAAAATAATTAATTGCTTAGCAAGTATCAAGGGTGAATCTTGTTGACGAGTCCTAGATCTTTGAATTACATATGTTAAATTAAGGGAAGCTCTTTGTGCATCAATATTTCGCTGAATTTTTTTGACCTCACTCGTTCGAGCAAAGTGTGTAAAAGGCGTAGATTGCTATTTAGTAAATTTAGCAGGTATACTATAAAGGCATTTTTACAAGATGGAAATTTGTAGGTTCCTCGTAGATTGCTCTTGTCTGTTCGGCGTTACATCAATTTTTCTGTTTCAGCCTGAATTTTCCGGTCGTGCGAAAACTTATACAGAAAACTATCCTGTCATCTTCAACATACTGCTATGGTTCGGTGTTATTTTCTTCTTCTCGCTGTTAGCCATTTGCAGTACGTATTTTCTTGGATGTCAAATCGTATTTAGCCCAATGCCTGGAGATTAGAGTGATTTATTTTGAATATATGACGAAATTTTGTGCAAATGCGAAGTATACTTGAGAAATAATATTTAAAATGAAAAATCTTTAAAATTCTGATTATAAGGCTCTTGGTTTTTTTCATTGCAATCATATTTAATTATGATGTCAAAAGTGAGAAATTTAATGAATTTTTTTTTGCGAAATACATTGAAATAAATTAATTTATTTGTATCACTTTGTCAGAATATATCAAAGACTTTTTGATTTGTGAGTTAATAAATAGCAAATTTCGATTAATTATCATAAGTTTAGTCTATTTTGCTGGAAATATAGGTCACATATTGAGAGATTATATGTAAGTTATATGTGCATTTATCTATGCAGGAATAAAAAAAAAAAGTTTGCTATATATTTTATAAATTTATATTATATTCAACGTGAGATAATATACAAAATTTACTTCGATGTCTAGAAAAAAATTGGGAACGAAAAAAATTCATAAAATTTCTCGTTTTTTACATTATAGTCCAATTTGGCTATAGTGAGAAAACGGAAGTTTTAATGTGGAATGCTTAATAGCTTTGATGGCTTTAAAAGATATTAGTTTTAAAAATCTCAGATATACATATTTGTGTTAGAAAGATTTCATAAACAGAAGCCAAGAATTGTGTGCTGAGATAAGTTTTCTTTGGTATTTAATCATAGTATAAATCTCTCGATGATAAAATCCTCTCTCGAAAGCGATAGTCAAGTCTTGATATTTTCAGTCGCCATCGCGGATATGGATCCAGGACGGGACTCTATCATTTACAGAATGACATCGAACCGAATGAAGAAAGACAATTAAAGTGTGAATATATATAATTGCAATTTTGTGATATGTGTTCTGTGCGAAGTATACTTATCGGAGCACTCCTGTATGCGTAATTTATTAGCTAGCTGGAGAGAATTCAAATAGCAACGTTTATTACATATTTCCGTATCATGTAGATTCTGTAAATTGATCGACTCAACTTTATCAGAGCTACACATTAAGTAGCAAATATATAATTATATCTCATTTCATTCAATCATATGTGACAAAGTAATTGTTACATTATAAGAGTTGCGCAAATTTGTATATTCCCTTGAGAGCCAATAAAAAAATTGGTTATCCCAAATACAATGTAATCATCCAAATTAAAGAATTTTTATCGTTAAAAATGTAATCCCAATGAATTAAATCTCCAATGCCGTAACATTCGAAAATAACTCTTATGACATATGTTGCGTTTCTAATGTCGCAAAAAAATAGAAATCGGTTGTCTGCAGCATTAAAATCTTATTTCCCCGAGATTTATAGCAATTTTTTTATCTCTGTATGTGTGATATTCGATTTGTAAAAATTCCGCTTGTTAAATTAACGCAAGCGACATGTGACGTGTCATTACGTGGTTTATTTCACCTTGTTCCTTGCGATAATGCATAATCATATCAATTTTTCACTTTGTTCATTTTTCATTTTGTGTCAAAAATAAATTGTGTACACGTATGAATATCAGAAATGCTGGAGATCAAGTGTTTAATCATAATATCTTAATCAAAGTACGCGTACAAATTAGCTATTTCTATGTTGTTTAATTTTGTGCGGCATACACAACGTACTTTCAATTTTGCCGCGCGAAAAGGACGCGCGATGCGGCAAACGTCAGAGTGCGCATGTCACGTGACTTTTGAACGTAGCTTGCGATTTATAATTTTGTACGGCGCGCATCCCGGCACAAATAATTCCTTTTTTAGTGTACATTTATTGAAATTACTCCTTAGATTGAGAATTATTTGCATATTTATAAATGCGAAGTAAAATTAAATAAAAAATAAAGTTTAAAGTCTCGCGAAAAAACCGAATAAAACTTGGATCATTCGTGCGCGACAGACGCGTTTACGCTACCTGACGAACTCGAATACGCGCGAAACTTCATATCGTGCCATATCGAGTCGTGTCGCATCGGTGCAACGATCGCTCCTCATCTCTCACGTATTTTATTCGCCGAAAATCAAAATTTCGCCCAGGCAGGTGAGTACCGAATGTACCGAGACGGAAGACGAGCGATTGCCGTAGCATTCGATTAATCGGATGTTCTATCGCTCGTGTTGCTTTGATATATTTATATCTGAACTAGCGAGTATGATGAAGCCATAGCGTCGCGAGTTAAAATTTCCTCTAGTTTTGATCGTTTCGAGTGTTAATCATTAAAGTACCTTCTGAAATGCATTAAAATTTTTAATTTCATATCTTTGAGAAAGTGAATTCTATTACTCAGATGGAGAACTCTATTAGTTATATCAAACTAGGATATTGACCTCGTAGATTATTGTGGCTTCAGCATCAAGTTGGTGTAAAAAGAGCAATCGAAGGCAGGAAAGTGAGTTAATAAATGCTTAGATATATTATGCTCATAAATTTATGATGCTTAATTAGAATAACAAATTTCGGATAAAAATATCTTATATGGTAAAAGAGAGATACTTGATGTATATATATACAGTATACATAAATTTATTAACATTGTAATATATATAATTTTAATATGTCCATTTTCTCTCTCTCTCTCTCTCTTTCTCTCTCTTTCTACACCGCGATTACACAACTTATTATAATATCTCTGATTTTTTCTAAGTATCTTACCTTGAAATACTTGTTTCAATGGATTCGTATATTATTAGTCAAGTCCGCGATTATATTTTCTAGGCGTGTGTGTGTGTGTATATGTGAGCATATAAATGTCGTGATACATTTTACAGATAATTATATCGCGCATTTTAATTCACATTTCTAACAATTAAATATAATAAATCTTCCCTTCTGATATTTTAAAGACATTAGTTTTGATGGCAGAATTTAATTTTTATTTTTTTTAATAAAGTTTAAATATGTTTAATATAAATATAATATATTACATAATATTTCCAAATAATCTATTAATTTTTTCAATTTTATATTATTACAGCCCCTCTTTTTTGATAAATATTTCTACTTTAATTTATTGAATTTATAAATTAATTTATTAATTCATAAGATTTATCACTCTTTGCTTATTCTCAATTCAACAAATCAATGATGCTATTTTTTACTTTAATGGATTTATAATTTTATTATTGCTTTATTATTATATATTAATTTTATTTTGTCATTATTAAGTTCATTAGTTATAAAATTTTTGTTATATTGTTAAACATTTAAATTTCAAAATGCGCAATATAAAATCAAACATAATCAATGATTTTGATCGTTTTTTATCACTTTTTATGTTCATAACAATATGCGATTATTATCAGCTTCTTAATGATTGACAATCGTGTTATTGATGATCCTCGACAATGATACGCGCCATCTGAAGCTCTTTCAGTCCATTTCTAGCGGTATCATGCATTTTACATTTCTATATGTATATATAATTCTATTTAAACTCTATTGTTATATAATATAGTTTTACTCAAGAAATAAATATAATTCTTTAAATGTATAAATCTCTGTACGGAGTTTTTATAGAGATCAGATTTATTTCATGAACATATGATACATGTAGATTAGTACAGGCAAGAGTTAATTATGATTTTATTTACTTGAGATAATCAAAAGATATAGTATCACATCGAATCAGTCTTATTCTTGTGCGATGCTTCTTAATGATTAAAATGCGATAAATGTATTTGATATATATATGGTGCAAAATATTATACAAAAATCTCTGAATCATATTAAAAATTCGCGAAATGTTGTTTATAATTTTATAATAATTACACAATAAATTAATATATATGCATGTGTGTATGTGAGTCTGATTTAATTTTAAATGCATATAATAAATAAATAAATACGTTAGATCGTTACTTTTGTCACGCGATATATATTTCTTAATAATTGATATCTAAAGAAATACGAGATAAAGTTAAATTTAAAAAGAGAGAAAAAAGAATTTGGAAAGTAAAAAGTCGAAAAACAATAACGCACGTAGGAATGCGATTAAATTCTCTTCGCAATCATCTCTTAATTTTTCTTCTTTTTTTTTTCTGAGATAACCAGTACAAAATATCTCTATCTGAGATCCGAGTCGTATCAAGGATCCATGATATATAGATGCTGCGCGTAGTAAGATCTGAGGTCGACTCCTCTCGACGAAGGTTTTCACCCCACTTTCGGCTCGATACGATCCCCTCTACCTACGCTCTCGTTGCGTACCCACCCCACCTTAAGTTCTCCAACAACACCTGTCGTTACGACGGCGAACGTCTGGCTTTCCGCTAGTCTGACGTATATACGGCTGTCGCAGGTTCTCCCGAGATTCTTGTCGCGTAGTCCTGCCGCCTGCGCATTGATTGTCGTTCTCTTTTTCCAGCGCGATTTATTTATTTTCTTCGTTACGCGTTAGTCGCGCAGCGAGATTGTCATCCGGGTGTGTTGTTTGTTGTTATTATTGTTATTGCGTACGAAAAATTGTGTCAGGTCCAATCACGAAAGAACTTTTGATCCAAGGGATGTCTCGCAGTGATAGTGTGGAAAAATAAGGGTTTGTTGTATAGAAAAATATGAAAATGATTTGAAGTGAACTTATGACACAATCCTGATTTCGAACAAATGCTAATTTTGCTGCATTTGACTAAATTTTGTAGACAACATCCCAAAAGTTTAAAATTGATCGTCTTAATAACGTGCGAGCAGAAATTTAATTGTCAGATGTGGCAAATCAAATGAAAGGAATAATAGCATGACCGCCGTGCAATTTTTTGACAGATTTTTTTTTATTGCGAGATATTTAGTTTAATAGATTTTAATAAGATTTACGGGCGGAAATTTAATAAGTTTTAACAGTATTAGTTTTAAATGACGAATTAAGTTTATATGTGTGTGTGATTTAAATTTTATTTAGCATCTAATAAATTTAAGAGAATCTCTATAATACTCTTTCTCAAACTACTTCTGTATTTGCATTTTCAAATATTTAACTTACTCTTTGAGAAACTTGATTCAACAATTCTTGTTTGTGTTAAAACATAACTGTTTCTTACGAAAATTTCATTAAATTATCGTGTAAAGTAAGATTATATGAATAATTATGTGAATTTATATATTAATCCCCATTTTAAAAATAAATTCATTGCAGAATTTTAAAAGGATCGTAAAAATTTGAGATTGATTGATTATTGCGGAAAAGTGCACATTTTACGCCCTGCGGGACCGGAGAAAATCACGTGATACGCACATTGTCGTGCTACTTCGAGACCAGTCATACCTGTAATTCTGCATCCACCACGTGGTCGATCGCAATCTTGTAAACATACTTATTGCACCGGCGATCACCGATCTAGGAAAATATTATCTTTTATTGGATCAATCGATATTTGTCTCGATGTAATTTATAATAATATAAAATATACATGTAGGATCGGATTTCTCGTCAAGTATCGTCGATACAATGTTCCCGTAAAATTTTTTTAGATGTATAAAAGAAGGAAAAAGTCAAAAATTATAAAAAAAGGAAGAAAACAGAAAATATTTTAAAGAAAAATAATGAGACTATATATAAAAAAAATTAATATATATGTATATTTACATATATATTTCAAGAGAAAATAATTTTGTTTTGTTCACGTTAGAATATATATATAACACACAACGCCTATATCAAATAATCATTAAAATTCTTACACAGAGATAGTTTTATATATTTAGGACTGATGAAAGAGATAAAAGCTTCGAACTTTAATGAGAAATTAAGTTCTTGGAAATCACAAAATTCGAAGATGGCTATTAATGATCGAATTGTAATATACTACATGTATATATGTACTAATGTTTTTAGAAAATGTTTAAAATTGTATAACAATCGGAATAGTGTTGTAATAAAAGAAAATGTTTATTTGCGAATAAGTACTGTTTTCTTCCACACGTCGAACAATAAGAAAACATAATTTGTTAGTTGAATGATTTACGTGATTTGCGCGCGCGTAAGAGCCAGTGCGTGCGGGGAATATTAATTAGTTTAATGATTATTTGAAATAACTTAGAAACTTAGACGGCCTGCATGAAAACGGCTAATCTATAACTTGGAAAGATTTAAACAAATCGATATATTGAATTATAATATTAAGACAGTGAGACATTTCTCGATTCATTTCCGAAAAAAAGCGATGATCAATCAACTTTATAGGAAATAGAAAATTCGTAAAGAAGTTTCATTAAAAAGATATCCTTGGAACTTTAACACGTTTTTCTCTTTTAAAAAAAAAATATATATGTATCTCACAGAAAAGAGACTATTTCAACAAGAAATGTTTATCGAGACATTTCTTATAAAAGAAACATTTCTTAAAAAGACTCGGCAAAAAAATTCACGAAAGGAAATGTTGTCGAAGAATAATTCTTTAAATAACAATACTTTTCAAAAAGAAGCTTTTGATGAATATTTTTGTGAAAAGATACTTGATGAAAGAATTTGGAAGGAAGAGTTATTAATAATTAAGAATTACTGAGAAAATAATTATATATGAAGAGACTATTTTAAAGAATTTTTTCGAAGGTATTCTAAGAATATTTTGAAAACACTTTTGAAGAGAGAATGTCAATGAATAGTCTAATCTATATCAAAGAGAAAGATGAACACACACACAAACCTCTCTCTCTCTCTCTTTTTTTTCTCGCATAACAATTGCCTCTCTTCCTTGATTCTCTTAAAAATCTTTTTCAAGAAAAAAAATTCTCCGAGAAATGATTTATTTATTCTTATAGCTTTCCTTCTCTTTGCTTCTCGATCATTGATCGATCGTTTCTTATTCTTGAAGCTAATCACTTTCTATTTCCGGATTTAGTGAAGATTGATACTTCGTGATCGCTGATAGACGAGGATGATAGTCAAGGAGTTGTTTGCGCGAACATTGCGAGACGTCGCGACGCTGGGTCGACGAATTAAGCATCGCGACTTCGGTTTTACGTAATGTCGATCCACTGCTACTGCTACCAACACCGTTGGGGGAACTTGTCAAGGTCACGGATCGCGGAAAACGCACTGCAGGTCCGTAACGAGACATCGTTGCTGAAGCCACCATTGATTCTACTAGTCTAGTGAAGAGCGAAGAGTTTCATAAGTCGAGAGAGCGGAATCCCCTGAAGAAATTAAAAAAGGTGAAAAAAAAAATCAAGAGAATAAACAAATCCACTATTTAACGGGATTTAAAGGATTGAGAAAGAGGCGCAGAATCAAGAAAAAAGAAAGAGACGAAAGAAACTTAAGACGTTAAGAAAGGTGATGAAATTAATAAATCTGAGAGATTGGCAAAGAGATGAGAAACGGGAGAAACACTGAGAAAAAAATCGGAGAAACTGAAAAACTGAGAAAAATTTGGGAAAAAAATGAGGATTGAATAATATTTAATGTATATAAGCAAAATTAGAAAAGTTATAGAGATAAACGGAATTGACTAAAATGAGAAATTGACGATATTGAATAAAAAGATAACATGCGGAAAATAAAATATAAAAATAAAAGAGAAATTGTGAAAAAAGTGAAAAATGCTAATTAAATGTCAAGATATAGAATGATTCTTCATTTTTTATAAATATCTCTTTTCAAATATCTTATTCGAATTTTTTAAATATTGAGAAAAGCAAACATTTTCTCGATTTGTCTCTTCTCTCTTTCGTCGATTTTAATTTTCTGCTCGATTCAAGCTAACATCGTAACATTGATTCTTGAATTATTACGGAAATAAATTTGAATTAAAACGATATCCGCGCGCATGCTTCTCGGAAGAAATAAAACTGAAAAAAAGATATCATCAGACATTCTCGAAAAAAATACCTAACAAAGCTCAAAGGCGATACTTGGACCTTGCTTGCGCAAAACGTCGTAAGTGTCTTTTCCTGTCTAGATATCATCGGGCACGTCTTTTCGCGGATTTTTTTGGTTCGCGTTTGAGTGGCCTTCCGGCGAGAGAAGGCGGAAATTCGTGAGAACATACACGCCTAAAATTTCGAATTGAATTTGTTCACGCTGTTGTTTTGCTGTTTCAAGTGTCCAGAGTCACGATGTCTCTCTCGCAGATTCGTCGCGACTTTCAGTTCGCGCGGACGCAAATTGTCGCGGATCGAGTGATTTTTTTCCCGATGTAACAGATACTTTTGCATTGGTAAATTGGGCAATTTTGTTTCTGCACTCTGATGAATTTATCGTTTAATATCTAATTAAATTTCGATATTAACTTAATTTATATAAATATTTTCATTTTTAATATAATTTACAAAAATATTTTTTATAAAGAATATTCCGAATCGTTATTAAATGCAGATTTTTTGTTGAATTTAAGCCGAATTTTCGTCTGCAGAAATAAAGTTAAAATAAGCAATGAAAATTTTTATACGGCTTTGTTTTCGGTTTTGAAAATTGAACAGTTGGAAATATTTTTGCGTTTTTAAGTTTAACACAAATATAAAAATATAATTTCAATAAAAAATAAAAGCAATCTTGACATTTTATACGTTATTTGTCTAATAATTTGGATTTCTTTATTAAACGTAATATTTTTTATCTTTATATTTAAATATGAGTTAATGAGTTTGATGTGTATGACATTTATATCTTAATTATGGAGAAAATTTGTCCACATTAGTCAAAAAATCAATCTTTAAAACTAAGATGTCAGAATTAAACATAAATCAGGCTAAAAATTCTCCGCTATTGTTCTATAATATACATATCAAATATATTTCTAATTAAAGACGAGGATTGGAATTGGAACTGCTATTCGTGTGGATTAAGATATTGCAAATATCAGAAAAGTTTTAATGGTCTCTTTACATCGTATTCGCTAAGAAAACTTAACAACACCTAAGTGTCACAAGAAATAACGCTATATTTGTGAATCAGGTGATCGCAACGGCGAAGGACGCCGGATGCCTGACGTCGCGACGCTTCGCGGGACTTGACGAGAGCAGACAGGACGATGAGCGTCAGAATAGTTGTGAGTGTCACCGAGCTTACAAATATGGATGCCAAGGATCGCTACCTCGTCGAAGGCATCGGTAAGTCTTTTTCCCAAATTTTTTATTCCGTAAAAATGGTATCGTTTTGCAAAAAAATGAATAAAAAAGATTTCTAATAAAACAATCTCAAATTATATTTTGGCGAAACTACGTCGCACAAACAAAGATTTCTTATCGACATACGTGTGTTGTAATCACAATAATATTTATCTTTTATTTATATTTATTGTACATCTATATATTTGATTATATGCGCGGACGATTGCATCAATGTACGGAATGTTCGAACTCCGTATCTTTAAATAAGATTAGAGATACACATAGTATCCGTTTGAATCGAGAAGACATGGAGGCGATTGTTACTTACGTAAACGACATTTTACGACGTAAAAGGTGACGCGGTCAGATAACAAAATATAAGAATAATAAGATATAAGATAATAAGAATAAATCGGCTTTTTATATATAACGAGCGTTCTTATATCCGAGAGAGATATTCTGTATCATTCTTCCACATAGATCGTACGATTCATTAATTGTGCATTTTCTTACTCGCGTATACTAGTTGAAATACACATATTGTGTTAAATTTTAAACGATTGCAAGGGAAAAATTTCGCCGGAACGCGTTCGCCAAAACATACATGTTGATTTGGCTGATAATACGCTCATTAAATATCGAGTCGATCAGCTCGTACGTTTATACATGCAATTATAGGGATTTGTGCGTGCATTTCGCTGCTACTAATTTCGATGGCAAATAAATATCCACGTCATTTACGGGACTCATTCGCACGCAGCAGATAAGATCAGTAAATGAACAGCACCACAAAATCAAACCTCGCCATCATATGACTCGTCTGAGATCTATTTTTAGCATTAAACATTTTAATTTTAAATTCCTTTTTAAATAAAATTACACGACATCAGTTTGTTTTGTAAATTTTTGAATAAATTTCTCAGAGAATTTCTTTTATCATTTAATGTACAAAATTCTTAATATTTTTCGGAAAATTCTAGTTTTTCAAAAATTTTGAGAACATTTTATTTTTTATGACAAAATAAAATGTTTTATTGGAAATATCAAGTGCGACGGATAATACCTGATAAGTTTTAACGAGAGAGAGAGAGAGAGAAAGAGAATGCAATATTATTCCGTCATAAATAATTAATAAGTTTTACGAAAATATCCAGAGGCATTTTATTCGATCTAGATATCGGTTTTATTCGATCTAACGAGCAGATACTATTGCTCAGCATGATTTAATAGACTTTATCTATATGAAAAAATCAGTATAATTATGTGTCGTCAGCATTATATTATATAATCTACTACCGATACCTGCGATTGTCTACTGGTCAATTGCTCATCGATAATTTTACACTGATTTTTCTCGCGGGAATTTAATATATTTATTGGAAAAATTTCATGGTAGCAAAAAAATGCGTGAGGTTATTAAAGTAATCGAAGTCACGTTGAAATCTTGAAATTTTTTGGTTATTTGTTATTTTATTAGAAGTTTAGAATTAGATTTGTAATTAGGATTTTTAAATGCGATCTTTTATTTGTCCCATTTAAGGGATTGCAAGTATATTCTTTCTATTTTATTTATGACGAAAATGTTTATAACTTTGCTCATATGATCGATTTAACTAATATTTGAAAAACATCCGTCATTGAAACATTAAATTTTAAAAAAATAATACATTTTCGCATGACGAGGCATAAATTTTTCGAGTAATCTAATCTAATACAGTGAATTATACAAGGGAAGGAGTGATAACTGAAGAATTACATTATTGACACGTGATAATAAGCAATTAACTATATAACGATCTTTATTTCAACTATGCTTTCGCTGTCACGCATTCCTTATCGTCAGCCTTCGTGAAAACGCAAAAACAACTTATCCTTGACATTGAAGCATTTTACCTTTAAGACTTTAAAAATATGCAAGATGTAAATATTTGTATATTTTTAAACTGCGACCTACACAAACAAAAGAACATGATGTGATTCATGTTCTTGAATTTCGAGAGATTCCAAAAGTTCTAAAGATAAATATTTTAAAAAGAATGATTTTGTTATACTCAAATATATATATATATATATTTATTTACCATGACTTAAAAGACCATATATATATATATATAAACTGATCTTATTGACTTTGGAAATTTTTTGATAACGTATATATGAGAAAAAGAGATAAATAATCTTATATATTAAATTTTTATTTATTTTATTAATATTGCGTTGAATATAACATTTTCTATCACATCTGAAATGTAATGTCCCGAGCTCTAAAACATATTATGCTTTTAATTTAATGATCAGCGCGAGTTTTGAATGAGAGTTGAATGTGTTATTTGTATAGCACATCTAGGTCGTATTTGTAGATTTCGGTAATCAGAAGCGGAACGTCGTCATCGTTGTGGTTAATGAAATTTTCTGCGGTTCTCCGCGGCTTCAAGTTCAAGGTTGTTATGCTCCGTAGCACGTTCCACAATTTCCAGCGGACACTATCGATGTCGCTTCCACTTCAGAATTACCTGACGAGGAAGTAACACAGTCACCACGTGCCACCGCGTCACGTGTTTGACTTTGTGACGTGATAAATAAATCAAATCCATGCGCTCTTCTCTTATCTTTTCGTCAGATGAGGAAACATGTTTTGTTCTCGTCGTTGAAAATGAGAATTCTTAATTTCCCACATCTATCATTCTTATATGTCTTTTTAAACATTAAAAATGATTAGATCCTCTCTCAAATATTTTACATTTTCTGAAAATATAAATCTTACAGAATATTAGAAAAATGACGTTTATTATAGCGGTAAAACAATTAAATTCGTTTGTTTTTTTTGTCACGTCATAATTCTTTTAAGCGAAGACATATTTTTATTTTGCCAGTCGAGAAGAGATCTTTAATATATTCAACATTCTTATGGTTCTGCGAACTGCTGTCGAATAAAAAAGAAATGCATACAGATATAAAAGAATGCACATTTTTATCATATTGCGAAACATTAAAGAATTATACGATGTTTACGCAAGATAAACTTGTCTTTTACAAAGTAAATTATCTTAAAATGCAAATATTACAACAAGTCGACATAAAAATTAGAATAAACACTAATATACTCCAGAATGTACTCCAAAACTTTTTGATGAAAAAAATCGGATTCAGATTCAATTCTTTGCAGTTAAAAAATGAATAATTGTGTTAAGAATTTCCGAAATATTTCTATCTTCAAGAGATCACGTTAATCCTAAGAATTTATTTATAAAAAAGATTTTTAAAAAGAATTTATTTTAAATAAACACAAATTGATCATTACAGATTCTCAGAATTTTTCGATGCTAATTTTATAGCGATATATTTTTATCTTGAAACTGCTCTTAATTATCTTACCGGGGATGAATAGCCAGGTTTCCGGACATTAGTTAATAAATGATCTTTAAGATGCGGCACAGCAGGAAGCTACTGAAACGATTGCAATGAAGATAATAACAACTGACTCACTCGTTTACGCTTAACAATGTTTGTAGCCGACGATTACGCAAGGCGGACCTTTAGCATCATGCTCATTAACGGAAATATAATTTGCCGAATAAATCGCCGTGATGTCATTTCACAGGATCATGAATCCCGAGAGCAACGAACCACTCACGCATCATCTCGTCTCAAAGTCCAGAGATCTGATGATCACCGAAGATTTCCGCTATGGAAATCATGCAAAATGCTTTCAGAATCCTTTTTTTATGAATTATACATAAACTTTGATCATTATTATCATGCATGAATTGCCGATAATTTTTATAAATTAGCCTATATGGTACTTAAATACCGATATCAAAAGTGTTGATATTTTAATCTTTGAATATAAATCATGTCAAATAAAGTATAAAAAATAACTCATAATAACATGATATATTAGTTAATACATCAATTAAATTGAAGTCATAATCAGCAGTTGATTAATTATAAAAGAGATGATATATTGAAATTCCCTCACGTAAATTGATTTGAAAGTGTAGATGCGTGTCTGCACGCATAGTACGCACACATACACGTGCAATATATATAATATAAATATTATTTTAATAACATAAATCGTAACAATATAATAACAATAAAATAAGAAAAAATAAAAATATAAGAATAAATTAAAATTATACATAAAAACATTATATATAGAAACATTACACTTATGTGCGCAATCGCAGTTAATTATTCTTCAAAATCAGACAAATTTCGCATTTGCGACGTACAAAGCGCAGATTTGCGCAGATATTTCCATGAAAATCATTATGTTCCGGTGTATGAGAACACGCCGTGATGCGATCCGAGGCCGATTACGTCTCCGTTGTATTACGTATCATCTCGAAGAAAAGCCATCCTGCTGTTTGTGTTAGGTAATCGATCGGCCGCCATCGCGAATTCTCTGCATCCATATTCATGCTTACCGCGGCGCTTATCGCCGGACCGTATAAAAACCGGACGACTCGTCAAATAACAAATTATACGAGTATCGTTATACGGTATCGAAAAATATGCAGCTTGACAGGATGTAGCATGATGATAGTTGATTAGCACTTACAAAGCTATATGCGTGCGCGTGTCACGCGCATATATGTATACGATAAAATTTTTGTCTATATTTAAGAGAGAATTTATCTTAAGTACGCGATAATATTAAAAAAAAAAAAAAGATTTCTTTATTCTTATCTTATCCAAGAAAAGCAAAAAACATATACAATTGTATACACGTGAAAATGTGCATAAAAAATATGTATACAAAATACATGTTACGTAATATCCGTTTTTAATATTTCTTAATATAAAGTTTCTGTTTTCTTTTTATATCGAAAGAAAATTCCAACGAGCATATCTTTTATTGAAACTCTTAAGATATAAAAATTATCTGAATGAAACTCTCTTTCTTTCTCTCTCTATAAATAGAAAACCTGTTTGTGAAAAATATTATCATATTTCAATATGCATTTATGTATATAAATTTTATGTGAATAACAATC